GGGCCATTTTCTCAGTCTTCGTGGTGGATTTTTCTAGGCTAGCAATTTTGTCTTCTATGTCTGAGATTCTATTTTCTGTATGATCTAGTCTGCTGTTAATACTTTCAAGAGGGATTTTGACTCCCTGTATTATAGCTTTCATCTCTAACAGTTCCATCTGATTCTTTTGTAAAGTGTGAAATTCCTCTTTTAGATCTTGCATCAATTTCCTCACCTCCTGGAACTCAACAACTTCTTTCTCCTTCCTCTTCAGCAGTTCATTGTCTCTCTTCTCTTCCATCTCTGTTAGTTTTGCCATTATGAATGTTCTGAATTCTTTATTCGACATTTCCATGAATTCCTGTGAACTGTGTGTGGATGAAGACGAGTTATCCTTTTCCCTTGGAGGAGAGGTATTTTCCTGCTTTCTCATATTTCTTGTGGTCCTGCAGCGATTTCTGGTCATCTGGTTGATGGTCAGTTTCTTCCCAAACTTGGAAGTTCAATCGTCATGGACACCGTATCCAGCAGAGCACAGCCAGCACAGCGGCAGGTTCTCCCCAGCTACCATGCGGAAGGAACTGAGCGCCACAGGTGATCCAGCAGAGCACAGCCAGCACAGCGGCAGGTTCTCCCCAGCTACCATGCGGAAGGAACTGAGCGCCACAGGTGGAGAGAGAATCTCTCGGAATCCTGATTTCTTATATATGTGTCTATTCTTTGAATGCTCCTTGGAACCATTTTTAAAAACATCTTACTTGTGCTCATTAATATGAGCTAAAGAAAATTGTTGGCACATGATTACTTTATATGAGAGTCACAGTTTTACATTTGTAACAGATATGTTTACACATGAGTTTTTTTCAAGGCTTTAGTATATTTGTGTTCTCTTTACATATGAGGAGTAATATTAAAGATCTAGCTTTATTTTCTTCCAAAACTAGGCTTCATGAAGAACCTTTACTTTCCCCATTGATTTAAAAGGCTACATTTCTGGCATTATTTGGACCACTTAAGTGTTCTCTGTTATGATCTATTTATGTATTTCCACACTAACATAAATCCATTTTAAGTGCTATAGTTTTATAATGCATTTTGATAACTTGGCAGGCTTTTTTGATATTGTACTGACCCTATTGATATATGGATTGCCCCACCAAATTAGATTAGTCTACAGTTTAAAGTAAAGATTTTTAAAAATTGATATACAAAAATTGGCCCTATTATTTGGGGCTCATCCACTCTTTTCAGACTCTCCTACGAAGTTAGAAATCAATTGTGAATCTAGATGGTAAATAAATAGTGCCCAAATCAAAACGTTATCACTAAGCCTATTGTTTATTACATAGGGGAGGGGGAGAAAAACCCTAGCCTGACAACTATGTATAAAATAGGGCAAACTAGGACAGCATTAGCAGACACTCATGCAGCAACAGAAGAAAGAAGTCAGGGCTATCAAAAGCACAAAATATGCTTATATTCTCAATATCCTTTTTTTTTTTTTTTGGGAGATTTTCGCTATAGGGCGCGTGCGCTCGCCAGACAGAGACATAGAGACAGAAAGTGAGAAATCACCCCCCAGGGGGGATGGTCATGCCGCAATCCCTTCTCCTCCATTCTCCTCTCAGGATCTTGGGCATGCACGCACACGCACCTGGCGTGAGTTTTAAGCCACTGGGTCCGGGACGCGAACCGCGGTCGACTACGTGGGAGTCCAGCGACATAGCCATTACGCTAACTGCTGGTTCCCCAATATCCTTTTCAATGTATAAACTTTTACTACTACTTGGGTTTGAAAGTGTTAATTACTCACACCTTTTGTCCTTGGGCTTTTGATCAATTAAGAAGTAGACACAGGAGGCATGTAAGGACTAAAAATATCAGCCTTATTTTATTCTTCATTTATCTAGATTAGCGTGCGTGTCTTGGACCCGTGTGCCCCAAGTGTCTTCCTTGAGCTCCAGGTGTACCATGTGACCCCATAGAAAAGACTGTCATCACTTGGGCAGCCAGCGAGAATCAAGGGGCCCTCACATGTCACACCATGGAAGACTCAAGCTACTCCTGTTCTAATCCTGTCCATAAGAAAAATTTGAGTATCAGACCCTGGCCATCTTGCTGGTTTGATACAACTTTTCCTAAGATCATGGGGAAGAGCTAGTGATGGTTAAGGAAGAAGCAAGTCTGCAGTGGCTTGCCCTCAAACAGTACCTGGAGAAATGGAAATGTCGAAAGAATTTCCTGTTTTATGGGTGGCTGCAATGTGGGTAGAGAAAGACTAAAGTCCCTCCCATAACATAGGGCAGAAATTGATACTAATCTAAAGAGAGCTTGAGCTAAAAAAAAGAAAGCCATATATTCAACTTAGATAATAAGAATGGAAAAATCTATTTCAGAGCAGAAAGATTTCTATCAGAACTTTTTGTATTTCTTAAGTTTGGGCATTTAAATGTAAATTCCCATGATGGAGAATGCTTAGGAATGTATACACAACTTTCTCCAGGAGTCCTGAACAGTGATAGTATACCCAGCAACCCTTTTTTTTTTTTTCTTTTTAGAGATTTTGCTATAAGGCATGTGCACCAGCCAGAGAGAAAGAAAGCAAGAAATCACTTCCTAGAGAGGATGACCATGCCACAATCCCTTCTTCTCTTGGGATTTTGGACATACACGCACATGCGCAAAGCATGAGTTTCAAGCTACCAGGTGTGAGACTTGAACCTCAGTCAACTACATGGGAACCCAGCGCCTTAACCAGTATGCCACCTGCTGGCTCCACTGCCCTTTTTTAGCACTGCATCCCCAAAGAAAGAACATGAGATTTGTAAATACTTCTAGTTCACATTTTTAATGTTTAAAAACTATGTTAACAGAGCAGTTATAGAACAGAACTTCTTACATTTCTTTATTTACACCACACCCTGAAAAAAACCCAACTCTATTTGATTAACCATGAATAGCAAAGTTTTGTGACTTGTGACTCATTTGAATCACCCATCTGAAATTCATTTACAAGGTTTTTTACATTAATTAAACAGTGGTGTGCTACATGTACTGGACTCAGATGAAGTCTAAAACACACTAAACTCTGGAGAGTGGGTTATGTACCGATGATCGAGATTCAAGTGTTTAGGGGGAAAATTATGTAAGACAGTCTATGTTGGCGTCAACATTAAAAGAAAAGGCAAACATGCAAGAGTTTCAAAGAAAAAATAATGGTTCTTTGTTTTCTTTCAAATTTGTGCTCATAGTTACTATTTCAGTTACCCCCTGCCCCCGAAGATCCCAAACTTTGGGAAATGCAGCAATTCAACTTAAAAAAATTCTCTTCCCCAACCTCCATTTTCATAAATACTGTAGTGGTATCAACGTTCTTCTTCTTTTTTTTTAAAGGCTTTTGCTATAGGGCGTGTGCGCTCGCCAGAAAGACAGAGAGAGAGAAAGCAAAAAAATCACCCCCCCAAGGGGGATGGCTATGCCACAATCCCTTCTCCTCCATCCTCCTCTTGGGATCTTGGGCACGCACGCACATGCGCCCGGTGTGTTTAAGCCTGGGACTCGAACCGTGGTCAACTACATGGGAGTCCAGCGATATAACCATTACGCCAACTGCTGGTCCCTGTAGTGGTAACAATGTTAATAGTGAAAGAGCATTATGAAGAAATAATTTGTCATTTGGGGTATATCTGTTTCTATATGACAATAATTTGGGTCTTAATATTCCTTATTTGTAGCTCAGACAACTATCTTTTAAATAATTGATTTTAATACCAGCATAAAAAAATCAATGCAACTATTTCTCAGACATTTCTTTTTCTGAACAAGTAAAGTTTTAGGTCCCAAATTTATATTGAGAGAACTATGTTACCTAGGAAAGAATGTACTTTTTTCTAATTCCCAAACAAAACCACTAATACCTATGAAAACATTTATTCTTTATATGCAGATACTAGTCTATTTCAGTGTGGATCAACAACTGCAAAAATATACAGCCTCCTATTTATTTACAATATATATACATACAATGAAGTATTTCCTACAGTAAGCCTCAGCTGCATAGATTCTTCCCTTAAAAATCACAGATTTGATCCTGTATACAGATTGGCCCAGTTTCATAGCCCTTCCTCAGAGAGAATTCTAAAGAAGGACAATGTCTACATCGTGTGAATTTTATGTTTTTAAAGAACTTTCCCATTTAGATTCAGCAATATTTTTCAGTTGTCAGCCACCCCACCCCTAATTTGTACCTGAAAGCCTTATATCACTATAAAATCATTCATTGTAGTTTACAGAAAGTATGTTCTGCTGCTTTAGGATTCTCAGCTCTGCCGTCTTTAAGAAACACCATTTATTAGTACTGCAGAATGATGTAAAGTCTGTATTTTCTTTATTTTGTATGTTCTTTCTTGTGAATCTGAATGGGGGAATTATATTCTTAAAGCTTACACCCTTTCTAAGTTTCAAGCCATTTAAATTGATAAACTGAGGAAGACTATTAGGCTTTGCTGTAAGGTATAAAATTAAATATCTGATCTATCCTCGACTTCCAATCCATTCCAACTAAATGTGTCACCCAGTGTTATTCCCCACTGAAATGGGAGTGAGCTCTGCATTCTTTTCAGAGTGGCCTTTAACTCCTTAAGTAATGCAGACCTTTTAGTAAAGAATTCACTTTAAAAGGAGGACAGTATTGATCATTTCATGATGAACACAAACACTTTGGAGAACCTCCTCCCGACACCAACTCAGTATGTTCTCTAATGTTGCATTCACAAAGGGTATTTTCTTTGTAATTCCCCCCCCCCAAAAAAAAAGCCTTTCATTTCTTCACGACCTTAAAAAAATGCAATATTATTGTGCTTAGCCCCCAATGATCCCAGAGGGCAGGCAGCCTTTGCTTTCAAATGGGCACCTACACTGGTAATTTCTAGCAAGAGAGGGGCAACCTCGTGGCAGCACAGGGTTCCCTCACTTCCTTGCCATCACAGAGATCCTGCTACAAGGATCCTTTCCTTCCATCTTTAAGCCCTGCTTCCCATTTCTTACCTCATGAGCCTAGGGACCATCTTCTGAGATGGGACTAATAGAGAGAAAAAAGGACACACTAACTGGCTTCAAATGGTTCTCAAACTTGATGTGTATCAAAATCACCCTGAGGGCTTGCTAGAACAGATTGCTGGGCCTTGGCCCTGAGAGCATCTGACTTCACTGGGCCTGGGGTGGGGCTGAGAATCTGCATTTCAGCAAGTTTGCAGATGCTGCTGCTGGTGGTCATGGTCTGGGGACCATACTTTGAGAACCACTGGCTTAGAGGCTTGAGCCCAGCTCTAGAAAGAAGTCAGCTCTGGGGTGTCTGCAGTGTCTAATGAAATACTGAGGAACTTTACCACAGTCCTTTGTCCAACCCAAGCCCCATTACCATCATCCAGGTATGCCTTTCTTCTCAACAGGGCTTGCAAATGTGTGTTTAAAAAAGAAAATGTGGGTAGAGGATTTTTTTTTTACTCTCCATCTGAATACTGGGCATTTAAACCATAAATACTATCACGGAAACAACTGAAAGTGCTGTGTGCTGACCTCAACACTTGCCTGTGAGAGGAGCCAGGAGCACAACATCCTTTTCTGTAGTGGGCAGGGAAGGAGATAAACTCTAGAAGCAAAGTTCATACAAAGAGAAGCAGGCAGGCCACTTCGGAGGCCTCCAGAGAAAAGAAAAGATACCAGCAGAGGAATGTCCCTAGAAGTTTATAATCCACAAGAGTTGCTCTCACTCCACTTTATCTTCCTCCTCTCACCACTCTGTTGGCCCTGAACTTATTCTTCCTGGTCTTTGCTGGAAACCCTGCTTTAGGCCACTTGGCCACGTCTAGCTGGGAATGACCTTACCCCCACTGTCCAGCAGCTGATATGTGGCTGGGATGGACAGTCCAGCTTCCGTTAATGTCAGGCAAAGATATATTCTTGGCAACTCTAAACAACACCCCTTAGAAACAATATAATATGTGGTGGTTAGGTTCTTTAGCGATCTTATTACATTCTATATAGCTAAACTATGGGTTTAACCATCTTGTCTAGCTAGTTGGAGGGCCAAACCACCATGTATAATCTGATTTCTACAGGAAAATATATTCCAGGTTGCAAGCAACTAACATACAGTGTTTTGGAATATGATCTCCTCATAAATATATGTGGGCTGCCTGGGCCTAAAAAAGTTAGATTTCCTTCCTGCATATGTTTCACTATCCACCACTTCCAATAAGTGGCATTAAGTAAATTAAGGATTTATAATATTCTGTGTTAAGATAACTAGAGAATGGCTCTAAATCCAAAGTATGACACTGGCACTGCTCACTAGTGTCAAGTGCCTATCTACCAAAGAAAAACGTGCTACTCCCCATGGCTAAAGTATAGTATTCTTTAGTCTACTAATTTAGCAGAAAAACTTTTATAGCACTTGACTGTGCTGTTTAAATTCTACCTAACATCTGTGATACATGTATTTTTTGGCTATCAGTTCACTACTCTGAACAAGAGTAAGAGCAGTACACTTTACAGCTAACCCCACATAAATGGTAAAATTGATCAGTGATATTTGACAAGTTACAGTAGGATCTATTCTATTCAGTCAACAACACACTTGGGTAAACATACAAAGAAGGTTTTAAAAACATGTGGTTATCACAGACATCAACAACAATGTACCCCTCTAAATAAATATATTTTAAATAACAATTTAAAAATCCTTGTACTGACACGTAAAATCCAGAGATCCAAAAAAAATCACTACACATCCCAGAGTTAATGACAGTTTTGTAAGTTGACTTTGCATGTAATGAATTGTTATAAAGAAATGAGGAAAATAGAAAGTGGCATAATGTAGCTTGCAAAGTAAATTATGTATTTTTTAAATGTGTCATTCCACAACCTGGTTATTATCTCTTTACTTGGTACTCTAGACTGGTCCCTAAAGGCCAACTGAATCTTGTTTTGCTGTTTCCATCATTGTGTATATAATACGGAAAATACTTCTAAAAAAGACAGAAATGGCTGTGGTTTTCGCTAGGTTAGATATTCATACCTGACCTAGATATGAATATCTAAATATGAACTCTGATGTAATGTGAATGTAATTCTGTAGCATTATATTAAAAACTGTGATGCAATCCTGAGAATAACCTTTCCTTTTCCCCCCAAGATAATTGTGACAGGTGCTTCAATGCCAGCCTTATTTACAAGATATTAGGCTGTAATGGGAGGGACCAGTCCATTTTCCTCTCAGCAAGAGTGAAGTCCTTTGGGGATTTCAGTCAGGAAGGAATAGAACCCAGAGTGCCTGGAAACTCTGCCAGTAGACTGCAGTTTGATTCTACTTATCTCCAGATAAGAAATCTGTGCTTGGTGAACTTATGTTTTTGGAAAATTCACCAGAATATAGATGAAACACAAGTTCTGTTTCAAGAGCACACATAGTTCTTACTCTATGTATGACATGGACAGTCCAATTACAGGCAATAACCCAGCTTAGGGAAACGCCAATTCTGGATTTCCCTTCTATTCTCCATTTCTTTCCCAGTTACTATATCCCAAATTGTCTTCTTTTTTGATATGTCCAGTTTCCTTCTGCTCCCATTAGGTGAGAGACTACGATAGGAGTGTGAAGCAACTCTGCCCTCCTTCATGGATCACATAACCTTCTGCTTGCTTAGGGAAGAGAAGAGGCAACAGCACAGATACTGAGACCCTCTTATCTTCCCTAGAGGAAGGTCCACAGTGATTTTACCAGAAGTTCTCCACAAAGACTCTCTCTGTGGATTTCAAGACTATGAGTGGAAAGTTAATGGAGAAGAAATGAGGCTTATTTAAGGTACAAAAATCATGTACTTGTAATAACCTAAATTTATAAATATAAAACAAGTCTTTTAAAGACTTCCCTAAAGTACCCAATATAAAATAGGAATTACTTATCCTAGATCACCCTTAGTCAGGTACACATTATTGTCTGTGAAAAAAGCTGGTGGGTATGAGTAAAAACTTCTGGGATTATAATTTAATAGAACGTCCTCCCTGCCCTCCTTCAGCAATACAGGTAGAGGGCTGAAGGCTATTTGCATCAGGGGAACATTTTCTTAGGCATTTTGAACAACCTTTTTGTAGGTGCCATGGGTCCCCAGTAGAAGTCGACTCAGACTAAAGTAACTTTGACACATGCCAAGAGGGACATAAAACTCCATTTGCTAGAGTACCCAAATGTGTGGTTTGATGTGTTTTCTAAGGTGAGAATCCACCCCACCCACTTTCCAGCTAAGAACACTCACCAGAGAATGTCTCTGCACAGCAGCAGGATGTGGTGCCAGCTAGACCACTGGACTGCCAGGTGATCAGAGCTGCCGCAAATATTGGGCATGCTCTGATCAAGCAATGGCAAGTGCCCTCTGACTTTCAGATGATTATCCCTGTGTGCTATGTTAACCAAAATAGGCAAATTATTTACGAAATTTTTTTTCTGTAAAGCAAAATAAATATATACAATTCAAGGTTTTTTTTTTTTCTTCTAAAAAGGTATAGATAATGTGAGCCGAACATCAGTAGGAAAATTATTTCAGAATCTGGGTATATAATAAATAGACATGACTGATGATGTTTTCAAAGTTCTAAGAGACTGTGAAGCCACAATAAATAGAATGAAAAAAGATTTTGAAAAGTACTGAGAAATATGATTGCATGAAATTAAAAAAAAAAAAAAAACTACAATCCCTAAATTGATGCCAAATCTTGGAGGGACATGAACCATTATAGAAACACGTCTCTGTTTTGCAGCCAAAGTGTTATTTTTTAAGTATCTTGTAAATTCCTGTTTGCTTCTGTAAACTTGCAAAAAAAATGATGAAGGGTTGCTGATGTGTGGTGACTTGATTGAGCAGCAGACCGGAATGTTTCCTTCTCTTGGCTGGTCTCAGTGGCCTTCATCACTGCCCGATGAGCAGGCCCAATCATAGATGACCAGGGGAATGCTGACCAAGGAGAACAACACTCCCAGGCCCAAAAAAAGGGCAGCCTGCAGCAACAGAAAAGGATGGGTTATTTTCAGTGCAGCAAATATTTCCCACACACACCTGAGAAAGAGACACAAATGTTTTTCCTCTCCCTTTGTAGTCTCTTGTATTTGGAGCTTCTTACAACCATTGCTGAACTGGAAAGTTTTTCTAAAATTGTGTGACTCTGACTGAGAATAGGAAAACAAGTTAAGCAGAGCCCTCCTCTACATCCTGTTCTTTGACTTCGCGGTCATCTCAGGTGTATCTGTTCTACAAATGACCGGCTATCCTTAAAGTTTATCTCACACTAAGATTACAACTTTAGCAAAATGACCTTGGAACATATCCAGGTCACTTTGTTATTTATCTACCAATCTAGGTTATTGCTGGCAGGTGAACATTTCTGTTTAAAAAAGTGGAGAAAAAAATACATGCAAAATCAAAGTAGAATTGATCAAGTGAAAAAAAAATAAGTGTCAAAAATTAAGTTACTTGATGGGTTGATGAAAGCCATAGATGGACAAAATAATGAATTCAGAATCTGAAGAACACAAGATTATAAACTGTGGCCTTCAGAATGTCCAGTGAGAGCTTTGCAGGCTGAGGAATCCTGAGAACCAAGAAAGCTGGACTGGAAACTAGAGGGGAAGATCACGCAAAAGGAAGGAGATGAAGCAAAGGGTGGCTGAGGTGGCCACACATGAGCATAGCACCACTGGCCTCGTCTAACTCAGTTCTGTTTACATGGACAGAGCCATTGCCTACTGCCCTTTGGTATATCCCACTACCAGTTTTATTATGGAAGCAGGGTTGGAGAGGCCCAGAGAAGTCATGGACAACAGGTCTCCACCATTTTCAGATTTAATCTAAGTATATTTTATTGCTGTGCCAGAGTGACTGCTACATCTCCTCTGTCTTCATGAAGGCTATATGGGTAAGGCTTAGAAGGATTTGGGATTTATGACTTCAGGAGTAATGCTGCTGGGGAGCTAGATGCTCTACCAGATCAATACTGCCTGTCCTAGATGCACAGGGATAATTGCTCCTGACTGTTCCTCTCATCTGGGTCCATTGACTCAGGTAACACGTGTGATTGCAGTGCTTACACTATCTGGGAGGACAACTGAGGAAGCCTTCTTCAAGGCCAAGCAAAATGATGCTCCAGAAAGGACTCATATAGCAGCCACTTCACCCCTGCTTCCCTCACTGCCTCCAAGTGCACCACTTTCAAGATGCCCTTGAACTTCACCAGACCTGGAAACAAGAATCCCAATATAGAAAGGTAGTTTTTGAATCCAGGTCTGTTGCTTCAAAGCATTTCTGTCAAATCATAGAAAGACTCTGTAAGCTAACTCACATTTTAATTAAGGAATCACATATTCCTGGTCTGTAGAAAGGAGTTACATGACTTGAAATTGTATAGAAACAGTGGACTGCATAAAATCATTGAGCCTCTCCCCATTTCATTTATTGTTAAAGACAAGGCATCACCCTATTGAGATAAAGGAGGATACATATCCATTCTCCCAGCTAGCCATGTCCTAGATCGGAACAAAAGCTAAGTCATTATAAAAGTAAGACTGAAAAATGTATTTTGAGAAAATGGAGGAGATTCTAATAGGATATTTTAAATCTCCCAAATGGAAAAATTACAATGCCTCCCTTCAAGGCAGTTGTAAGTAGAAAAATAAGACTATTTGTTTGGTAAATTAGAAAAAATAGAAAACTAATTCAAAAATAATAAAAAAGCAGCTGGCAGGAGACATACCCAAATTCTTTGAGTTCCTTTATCTTCATCCTGGTTTGTGATTTTTAAATAAAGAGATGAAGGAAGAATGAAAATAAGCATATTAGCAGATGTAACTCCTGTAAAATGAAGGGAGGAAAAGGAAAGTTTAGGATTGTTATTATCAAATTTTACTTTAAACATTAGCTATTGTAGAATGATAATTGCAAAGGCATAGAGCCATACCTACGACTCCAAAAATATCCTTCATGGAGGGTATGAAGATCACCAACAAGTTGATGATAACCAAGAGTATGAAGGTAACCAAGATGTGACGACATAAATTAAACTTTGTTTTCTTAGCCAGTTCAAATAAAGATGAACGAACCTGTAGAAAAAGAAAATGATTCTGTAAGGGCCCACAGCATGCCAACCTTCACATTTCACAGCAGAATAACTGATTTATTGGAGCACAGAATTCATGAAATGTTTTGTAATGCCTAGTGTATTTATAGATGGTTGAAAAATTGTGGAAGGATGGGGGTTTGACTTAAGACAGAAAGTATTTTCATTTATGAATATGAGGAGACCTAGTATTCAAAATTTATTATTTTTCCCTAATTAAAAAGTTATTTATTTAATTTGATTTATTTATGATTATTTTTTAATTTGGCCAGAGAGAGAGAGAGAGAGAGAGAGAAAGAAAAGGGAGAAGGCAAGCCACCAGGTCTAGGACTTGAACTGCCATTGGCCATGTGGGAATCCAGCACCTTAACCACCATGCCACCTGCTGGCCCCCATAATTTATCATTCATAAATGAAAATACTTCACTTTTTTATAGTGTAATTTTTGTCTTTGTTTTATCTAAGATTCAAGTGTTCTCTTCTGGTCCTTGTAAATTTTCTCATCATGTATGACTAAGATGCCAGCATTCTATCTACATTTCTCTGTTAAGAGAAACAGGTTCATTAGAATTTAGATTTATTCCATCAGAGGCTACACTAACTCACTGTCCTGCTTGCAGCCCAAAGAGCCTGAAGTCTGAACTGAAGAGTAAGTCCTAGGATCCTTCCCTGATATACTTTCAATGAGCCAGGGAAGTTACCTGGTGGCAGGCTTTCTCAGTGCAATGGGTTCATGAAAGCAGAAGGAAAGGTGAGACCTCACCCCTTCTCAGATTGCACTGAAGGCTTTTACTCACTGTGAAAAATAACACCGGCACTGTGAGGATGACAGCGACAATGACAGCCAGCCGCACTGTCAAGATGAGAATGTCATCTTTACTCTGGTACTTGTGAAGCAGGTCTGACTGTACATTTTCTAAAACAAGAGAAAGGTAGGAGGGTTTTAAAAGGAGACAAAGTACATGACTGAATGACAGTTTTTCCAAACAACAAAAAATTTGTAAACTTAAAGGGCAAGGAAAGCAGTGTTTTGAAGTGTCTACTAAAACAATTTATGAACTTGTAAAGAAAAATCTCCTGCAGGAGACATGCTCCACTGTGCAAATTTAATTTCAGCTAAAAGGAACTGACATAATCACTAAAAGAAGCCACATGGAGTGGGAATGCTTAACTTACATTAAGTTAAATCTAGAAATATAAGAAATTATGATTAAAAATAAAACATAGTTGAAGAGAAATACAAAACTCTTCCTAATCTAGACTATCCCCCCCCTTTTGTGCTACTCTTCAAACTATGTCAGAGTCTCACTCTTGTGGGCTGGACTGCAGGCCTTATGTAGCTTCTTGCAAACTCTTGTAACCTCCAGTGGCCAAGCAGCAAAAGCACTAACCGAACTCTGCCACCATCAGGAGATAATACTTCTCTTCCATGCAGGTCTTCTTATAACAAAGCATTTTGTTTAAATATTACTTTGAACTTTTTCTCAATTTAGAACTTCAGGAACTGTTATTTTGAAAACAACCAAAGCTAAAATGGCAGTCAGAGAGAACATGAAAATGCCCATTCTTCTGACATGAGAACATTTCTGTTCATGTCTCCTTTCCAGGGCTTCTCACTGCACTGGCCCCAAGACTCTGGGAATGGAATTCAAATTCTAATTTGATACCCCACAAATATGTGCAATTCTTAGGTGTGGATGAAAACATTTTAACATGTACCATAGAGTTTGTTTTTGGTCTCTGAAAAAGGATCATAACGTAAAAATAGAAAACCCATTACTGTAGGTCTATCAAAAATAAAAACCACGTAACTTGATTCAAAATTATTAACCACTTAAAAGTAGCTGAGCCTTTTTCCTTAGATTAAGGAAAATAAAATGGCTAGGTATTCTACTTATATGTGAAAAAAAGATGAATTAGAAAAGAAAATTCATAGTTTGAACATGATAAGAATAAGACTGTTCAACTAACTTTAAATTCTCCCTCTTCCTCTCTTCAAACACCCCAGTCCTATAACTCAGCAGGC